AATATATTTTTTTATTAAGAGTTTTGAATAAAAAGTAAAAACTAACAAGAACTGATACAAAATAAAAAAAAAGAAAGGAAAAAATTTTGAGGAAAATAAGATAGGTTCAGCCTATAAAATATTGTTTTAGATCAGAGAAAGCAGACAAACCTATAGAATTCCTACATGCATTTTTGCTATCCATACATTTGATTTTTTAAAAAATCAGTTTTATTTATTTTATTCTCTTGCACACTTAAATAAACTCGACTGTTGCTGTCTTTTGATCTGAAATCCTCTAAAAGTAACAAGTAAATAAGGAATAAGTTTGTCCCTTCATTCCATTTTTGCTTTTCTACTGGCTTTCATAACATAATTAAAATTCTCAATTTTTGCAGACATTGATGCCAATGTGAAATATTCAGGTAAAAATTATGAATGTTCAGAGCTGAAGTCATATTTGTGTGTGTTTCTGTGTGTGATTTCAGATGCACAGTATATCACCTGCAGGATGCAGAACTGCACTGAAGCTGTAAGAAGCAAGCCTTTTCCTGGATACATTGATTCTGACTCCCTCATTGTCCAAGATGATTATGTATTTGTTCAGGTCTGAACAGATTTTTTTCCCCCCTTGATTGATTATACATCATTTGTCCCTTTATTTCTGAATATTAATCTCCCGTTCCTAACAGATGCAACAAAATAGCTTGAGTACAAGTAGTGTGTTTCAGGGCATCACCAAAGTGTTGCTCCCATTGGGATACTAATTGTTCCCTTCTGCCTTTGCTTCAAGTACTTTGTTAACACAAGGGTCATGAAGGGTTAGGTCTGACATGTGTTCAAGGGGTATGGAAATAATCCCTCTCGTCAGTCAGCCCTCCTCATTGTCTTTTCAAAGAATGTTCTCACATCTCAACGAGATTTTAAGTTTGCATGCCAGAGTTCTGATATCACATCTCAACAGACCAATCAACCTTTTTTCTATTATTCTTATTATTATTAGTTTGAGGTAAAGGGAGATAGAGTAAGGGAGATAAGGAAAGGGAATGCTTGAGAGAAGAGTAATCAGTCCTGATTGTCATTCATGGGCTTCGATTATTACGAAAAAAGAAGAAATGAGATATATTCAGCTGAGCTATGTTCCAGGTGGAAGCCAGAGAATATATCTGAATAGTTTTAGGTTTCATTATCTTCCTGCTGCTATCCATGTCATAACAAGAAGGAGGAAGTAAAGTGATGGCAAAGTGGAGATGAGCTATAAATTTTCTGTCTTTCAACTATTTCTTGAGGCTGAGGTTCCTGGCTTGCATCAGTGTATACCTTTCCAGGCTGGATTGTCTATAACCTGGAGTTTTTAAGTAGGATCAAGTTTGGCAATCCTGAATGTGTTATCAAATGGTATCAGCCATACCACTCTAGCCTCTAGCCTCTCTGAGTACATCATTTCTTCCCATATAGAATGTATGTCAACTCTTCTGAGGGTTAGAACAATGTATTGCCTTGCTTCTTTTCTTTATAGAACAAGTGTAAGAAATTCTCCTACCTCAGAAAATATGGGGAAAAGTTTTTATTTGTGGTCTCATCTGTTCTTTCACACATCCATGATTAGATAGAGACCAGGCCTTAGTATACATGTAATAGGTTTTGCATATGTGCAGTTTTGACCTCTAATTTTTTTGCTTATTTTATCTATGTGTAAAAGAGAGACCTGTTTTTGGACATGCATAGAGTATATTTTTAAAGGCTAAGATTAAGTCATCTGCTCCTGTATTTGTTCCCCCTTCTTGCTCTTTGTAGCAGAAGGCTCCATGTGGCTTCTTTGTTCTTCTCCTTTAGAGCAACCTGATCAGATAGTGATAGAGGAAATCACCTCCCTCATGCTATGTAGCTTCTTTGCTTGCAAAGCTCTTACAACCTTAGTAGAGGGGCCTCTTGATTGTGCAATTGGGTACTAGTGTTTCCCTCCAACTGCTTGTGCCTCACTCCAATTGCTGTGAATAGCCTGTTGACAGCACTGGCACCCAACAGCATGACTGAGAAATGCACCCAATGAGACTATGAACAAACTGCCTGGAACATGAAGAGGCTGGCATGAGCCGTGTGAGGCAAACAAAGTGATTCTCTCCATCACCAGCTGAAGAAATCATTCTGAAGAAAAAAGTCAGTTGCCATGAGGAAACCATGTGGAGCATCACAGCTGGACAAACCCAGCAAAATCCATAGCAACCAAGCAAGGAAAAGGAGGCATGAATACAAGTACAGATTATTGGTTTGGGAGGAAGAAGGAAGAAGTAGATCACTATAGGCTCTGAAACCTAACCCCTGGTCAATTGTATGTGATGACAATTCGTTCAACGAGATGGGCAGTGACAAATTTGATATATATTAAAAAAAAAAAATCTGTAAGTGAAGAGAAGCTGAAACAACTTCTACATGGTACAAAGTTAAATTCTGCCGATTTGAATGCATATTTACTATTTACCTGCAGTTTTAAAATAAGAAAACAGTGACTATAACAGGTGCAGAAGTTTGGTCATCGTTCCAATTGATAGGGTTACTTTTTAAATGATTTTTATTATAAAGTTGTTAATAAGTTCCAGAAAGGCAATGGACTGATTAGGCCTACAGTTAACCAAGAGAAGACAATTCCACGGATGATCAAATTCTAATTGTTGTTCTATTTACTTTCAGTACCATGAGCTTCCCTAAGTAGCTATTTGAGCATTTGAAAAGTAATGTTATTCATTCTTACAAAAACATGGGAAGACTATATGTATGTATGTATATGTATGTATACATACATACTTACATACATACATATACATACTTCTAGCTAGCAATGATGTTGTTTGTTGTTAAGTCATTGAAGTGACATGTATCTATAGAAGTCAAGGCAAGATCTGGAAAACTCAGACAAATCTTTACTAGAATTGTATCCAAATTGGTCAGAACTGTAAACCAAAATTTAGAAGAATGGTCAGAAGGAGAACTTTTTTCCTCATTACACAATCATCATCTAAAGTATGTAAACAAAATCATGCTAATAAGCCTGAAATGTTTTGGAAGAAAGTGCTTTGGACTGATAAAACAAAAATTGACCTGTTTGGCTACAATCACACAAGGTAAATTTGGAGAAAAAAGGGTGAAATAATATCTTTCTTTCTTGGAACCATTAAGTATAGGGTGGGCTGTATTATCATTTGGAGTTGTGTGATGGCTGGTAGCATAGGAAATAATGTGTGTGAAAGAAACAATGAATTCAACTGCATGTTTTCATATCCTAGAAGCTAATGTCCCACAGTCAGTGAAAAAATTGAAAAGGTTGGGCATTTCAATAAGACAGCAATCCAAAGCATACCTCCAAATCAGTTATGAAGTATTTATAGAAAATGAATACAAAGGTTTTGGTATGGCCTTCAGAGTCCACAGACTTCAGTATAATTGAAAATCGTTGGGAAGATCTCAAACATGCAATATTTGCAAAGAGATGTAAGAATATTTCTGAGCTATGAGAGTGAGAGAGCCAGTTTGGTGTAGTGGTTAAGGCAATAGGCTAGGAATCAGGGGACCATGAGTTTTAATCCCGTCTTCAGCACAAAGCCAGCTGGGTGACCTTGGGTCGATCCCTCTCTCTCAGCCCTAGGAGGAAGGCAATGGCAAACTACTTCCAAAATCTTGCAAGGGCATGTCCATGCAGTTGCCAGGAGTCAACATTGACTCAAAGGCTAAATACATACATGCATGCATGCATGCATACATACATACATTCCAAAAACAAGAATAGAAAGACTCTTCGCTGGCTATGTTGGAAGCTGATGGAAGACAATCCATACTTCTGCACTTTCATTGTTTCCTTATTTTAAGTCTATAAGGAATTTAACCAGGGGTGCCTAAACTTTTCCAAGCATACTGTGATACTTCTGCATATGTATCATGCTACTCCAGCAATTTGGAGAAAATATTTTGCTAGAGCAGAACTGTGCGTTAATTGAGATTGCTCTTAATTGCATTCTTATCATTTTTAAAAAAGAAAGATGATATGCTTTCTTTAAGAAAGCTAATATGGATGAGACAAACTTGGAGAATTGTATTTCATATTTAATAAGCTAGTCATCTTTCCTGTTATTTGTTAATGAATTGTAACAGACATTTGTTTTTGTTTTGTCACTCAGTGTAACTAGGAGGAGATTAATTTTAGTTTTACCCTCCAGGATTTTGGAGAGGGCAGGCTTGCCTGAAGATTATTTCACTTCTGTGAGCTGACAGAAGAAGTGGCTGGCTGTAGCGTGTGTAAATATTACTGTTATGCAAATGGAATACTCTAGAAAAGACAGCAGGCTTTGGTGTAACTTACAGGACTTGCCAAAATTTTAGGGCCCTTAGCTGGGAGGAAAAATTGTTTGTTCCAACACTGACTGGAGCAGAAACGTTTCTCTTGTTATCCTCCAACTGGAAATATAACATGCAACTATTATTGCCTTGAGTATTGCCATTTTTGCCTGTGCAACTGAGGATGCTGAAAGCGGCTTCTGGAATCCCACATTGGTGGGTTTGCCCATGCTCTTTTGTCTTCCTTTACAAACAGTCTGCATAGATTATGCATCTTAATGCTGCCTGTTTCCACAGCTGATAATCTGCACGAGGACTGGTTCATCTCCTGCTATATCTTCATTGCCATTTTGGAACCATTGTGACACAACTGCATTTCCCTTTATAACACACCTGTTATTTTCTTCCTGCCTTAAAAATAAAAAGGGGGGGGGGGAACCAGTGATAATAATACCTTGATTAGAATAATAAGAAAAAACAATGTTATATGTTGCAGCTGACATCTGGAGGTCGGCCACATTACTACGTGTCTTACCGCAGAAATGCTTTTGCGCAGATGAAACTTCCGAAATATGCTTTGCCAAAGGTAAGTTATCATGGTTGCAATATTCCCATATAATGTTAGATGATAGACAGACCACAGGAATTGCTGCTGGTGGCCAGTTTCCTTGGAATTGTTTTAATTAGTGCATATATCCCTTTATTTTTCAAGAGCATGTTGAAGCAGTGAACAAAATACTGCTCTCTAAGATCAATATTGCAGCTATTCAGGGGATCAGTTCAAAATGCAGATTGATTTGTTCAGTGGGTGGACATTACTAATTAGTATTTCATTTTCATCAATAATGACATTTTGAGGTTTTCTATTCAAAAGTTTGGCTTTCTGATGTACTGCTGGTTTCCATATTTTATTGTATTAAAGGAATTTGATGAGAATTTTTTGCTTTAGAAAGTATGCTTTTGTATGTCTCTAATTAAAAAAAAAGAGAGAGAAATAGCAGTGGAGCCTGAAAGAACATGTATTGCATAGCCTTTTAAAGAATCTTAGTAAAATATGTCAATCAAGGAGAAGTGCATTTGATTTAAAAATTAACCAACCTGTGTTACTTTTTCAAAAAAAAGAAAACAAAAGAAAACAAAACTTCAGGACTTTTCTTTTTTAAAAATGTGAAGGACAGGAAAAATGATTGTTAAGGACTTTTGTTCCCCATATAAACTGTTTTGATGCATTATAACATGATCTGGGAACATAGTTTATGAAATTGCTTGTCAGATCCAAGGTCTGAAGTTTTTTGATGTGCTATGACTTAGGTCCACATTACAGGAAATTAAATGACACCAAGATGTCCAGTTATAATGAGATCAGTGTTCTCGACTACAACCATTTAGGAATATGGGTTTTTAAACTTTCAGCCTGCACATGGGCAACTAGATTCTTTTTTTTTTCCCCCTCCTTAACTTGATTTTAAAAGTTATGGCTATAAATATTTAAGAATGCTTGAACTTCCCAAACTGAGAGTTTTCAGAAATTAATCACCTTTAAAGAATTCTGGCATAGACTGAATTCTTAGGTATTTCAAATGACATGGGAGGATTTATTCTGTTGAATCTCATCATCATGAGACAAGTGTTTATTTGTTAAGAGATATTTAAAAAGTCATCAGATCCTTTTCTAGCCAAATATTGTAATGAATGTAGTAAAGGCCATTTGGAAATGCCAAAGTGCAGCTTATGCTGACTATTTTGGATAAGGCTGTTTACAGTGAGAAAGTCAAGCTTTCCAAAATGCTTAGTATCCATCTATCTACCTTTTCAGATTTCTGTGAAAAATTCAGGAAGTGATTGAATTATTGAGTTGAATTCTGTAATACCTGATTACAATGTGAGAATACCTGTTTGACAGCTTTGGGCTTCTTGAAGTTGCCTTCCAGTTAGAAACATGTGAATCACTTTAAATCTAGTCCTATTTCTGTGCATATTAGTAAAACCATAATCCCATTCCATAGTGAGAATTTTACTGGATTTTTAAAAAGATGTTTCAACAACAGCAACCATACATCAGTTTGTCATTTGCAACCATCTCTAATTTAGAGAGTTTTATTTCATGTTGTCTTTATGGCCATGGTTTTTAGTATCTTCTCAACATAAATTTCTCTGGAGAAATGTATTATTTTTATATAGCTATTATCATATATATCCAGTGTGATATAGTTAATGTGTTGCAATAGGATCAGGAAGATTCCAGATCAGATCCATTCTCAGCAGATGATTTGTGGCCAGTCACTCACATTCAGCCCAACCTATCTCACAGAGCTGATATTGGAATAAAATGAAGGAAGATCCTATATAAGCCGATTTTTGCTCTTGGAGAAAAGGCAAGGTATTAAATACATACTATATGCACATACTATTTAAAAACACAAACACTCCAATATATACTTTTCTATAAGTAATTTTTATAAATATATACATCTTTACTAAACATATTTTTGTGCAAATTTTAAACTCATAAAAGATGAATTCTAGGCATCTCCATTCCATAATGTGTAATTGCACGGCAGAATTCATTTTCAACCTTTCAAAAGTCCACTCCCATAGACATTTACGACATACATCGTTTACATCTCTATTTGTAAGTAGGGCCTTTCACTACCCTTCCAAGAGAGACAATGGTCTGCAGAGGCTATAGTATCTGTTGTAACAGAACCTCACCAGCTTCGGTCCTATCTAAGTGGTACTTTCTAGAATAATATAATGTAAGGTGCTAGAGGTCATGAAATGTCAAATCTAGCACTAGGTCCCAATGTTTTGATATGATATAGGCCCACTGAGGCAGCTGTCAGGTAAATAAACTTCCCATCTGATCTCTGTTGTGCTGTACTCTTAGCACTACCATACTAAATGGCCTGAATATCAACAGGAGACTTGGCTGAATGTATTTAACTGTTTTTCTAGACTTGGTTTTTAGGTCTGAGTAGCTTCACTTTCCTTGCATTCCTGCCTACAATGTGACCACAAGTTTCTCTTCCAATCACATAATCCTTTAGACTCAGGGTCAGTAATATGCCCACATATGGTACTGTCATTTTGTTCTGTGCCCTCATATATATGTGAATATGCCACAAAGCAAAGTACCACCCTTATATTTAATTACAAATATACCTCTGGGCTTTCTGACTAGACCCCATAAATTTTCTTAAAAATTTAAAAGAATAAAAAATAATGGCTAATTGCAACTCACAGCTTAGTTTAAATATTTGTCTACCTGGATTGGGAGAGGAGCCAAGACAGTGGTCAGACAGTAGCTTTTACAAGGAGCTCTCCCAAGTTTTTATTTATTTTGTGGCTACCTGTTCACAAAAAGCTCATAGGTAAGCAGGTTACCATCCTGCATTTGGAGGTGGGTAGATGAGGGACAAGTAACCCTCACCTTTCCTTTCAACTGACCATAGTTATATTCTAAGATAATGAGTTTACTGATAAAAGAAAATATACACTAGACACATTATTGCTTGCAAATCCTTCATAAACCCTTTCCTAAATATAAAGATAAGTAATTTTGAGGTTTTTAATTTGGTACTTGTTACTTTACCTAATTGGGTTATGTTAATTGGCTGGGAGGGCTCTAGAAGTGTTTATCTCCTTGAAAAGGCTGTTGCTTGGAGTATCTGCAATTTAGATTTGCACAGAATAGAGAAAGTAAAAGGGACCAATGAAGAGCCAGACATTCCCTATGTGACACAGACATGGTGAAATAGTTTTATGCCTCTTTATGCTGTCCCATAATAACTTAGAATATCTTTCTTCCCTCTTTGTGGTTGAGCATTTATTAGCTAATATAATGCATTATAGAAGTAATTTGAATTAAATATTTCCTAAGCAACTTTTTTTCTGAAGTAGGATACTGCTTTCCTTAACAAGCCCCAAGAGTTTCTCTTTGTCACCTTATTCAAGAAGCAGATGCTGTAAATCCACCTGCAGGATAATGTTTAAGGCAACAAGGTGCTTCATTACAATCTCACGCATCTTCAAAGGACAAGCAGCTAAATCTGTATGCACAGAGACACAGTGAGAAAAGCGTGTTTGGGATGCTATTATCAAAGCAGGTGGCTGCCTTTATTAAAAATGAACAAAGCACAACACGGTCAAAAGGAAATGAAACAAGCAAGGCCCTTTATGGGTAGAGAGTCTTTAATCTTTTTCAGCTCAATTACTTTGTCCAAATAAAATCAATGCTGTAAAGGGTTCTTAGAGCCATAGCGGCTTATGGGATTTTAGTGTAGAATTTTAGTACTGAGACAAAGTAACTTGATCACTGGATTCTTTGTCTTGATGTTTCTACTGGTTTAAGTAAAAGGAAGCAGTAAAATATGATGTCTTTCATATAGTCATAGTGGAATAACTAATCTAGGCATTGGGCAGCAGCATTTGAAAAGGCAGACTTGCAAACCTCATTGAGATTATCATGCATAATAGCTCCTGTCACTGGATGTTGTCTATTATTATTCATTTAGTGCATGCACATTTGGATTAAGAATGATAAGTGTATAAAGAGGCCTATTTGGTCCCAGGTATATTGGCATTTAGATATGCCTATCACTCCCAAAACATAAGAATCATGAAGAAACTCAGCATCTGGATACATCTAGTGTCAGCTCTTGCTGCTGTAAAAATAATAGAAGTTGTACAGAGATAATTCAGTAGAAAGGTTCAAAGAAAGAGCTAAAAGGAAATAAATCCAGCAGACCTGTAGACCATCTCAGGGGTTCAACACTCATTTGTGTGTAATTTTTGGCAGCATTTGCCAAAGTAGTTGTATTTATACTAATACACCAGCTAACACTAACCAAAAAGTACTTGATTTTCTATTGAAGAAGTTTGATAGATGCAAAGTTTTATTCCAACACAAGCAAGTTTTAAATTTCTGAGATATGCAACTTTCTATATTTGAACTCTTATTCACTGTGTCTAGTTTGTAAATAACTTGAAAACTAAACTGCACCTAGAAATCAAATATTGGTGTTTACCACAATACTTGGGACTATGTCAGATTCATCTTATCAGCTAACCTGGGTTAGAAGCTTACCTTCTATCATTAAAGATCTCTTGTTAATTAAGTGAACTCATGGAACAAATTTATTCATTCCAATATCTCCAGCCATCTTTTTTCTCAGGTCTGTTAGGGTCTGTTGATATATTTAATCCAGCAAGAATAACAATCCATGGCTTTGCTTATACAATCAGCTTTGTTTTATTTTTCCGTGGCTTATTGGTTAGTCCATGATTCAGTGCAAAGCAAACTGTTCATTTAGTAGTCAGATTAATCATGTTAAGTTAACCTAGCTCTTTTCCCAGGAAACATAACTAATGGTCTGCAAGTAAAAATAAATAATGACTGGCTGGTAGCTTGTATATCACGATTTTTGTTGATAATATCAATAAAATATTATGTTTTAATTGACTTTTTTTTTAATGTTACAGGCTTTTTAGGCAATAACCTTCCAAATTAGTTTTATGTAGTAATTTAGTGGAGTAAGGGATAAGGAGGTAGGTAGGTAAATATAAAGCAATCTATTGTGACTCAGTTTTATCTTCTATAATCATGGAAAGAATCAGTGGTCTTCATTCATTTTTAATTAAGTTATCAGGACAACAGAAACTAGTATCTTATGGAATAAAAGTGGAAAAAAAATAGGGTTTTTTTCTCTAAAAAAAAATCTTAAAAATAACAGACAATTTCAACAGCTAAATTAATCAATTATATCCTAGATTTCATTCATTAAATTTTCTGAAAATAAGGTAAGTTCCCCATATCAGCTGAGCAAAAGGAGGTTGCAACTTCTTGGTGATTCAGAAAGTACTGGCCTTAGTTCTTCTCATATGCCCAATTCAAATCATGCATGTAATATTGTGCTTTGTTTCTCTCTGGGAAAGTACAAAGGTCAGTTAAATGTGCTGCATGTTAATGTGAACTGTCCTTCAGTGCTGTGGCTGAGATATTTTCAGGGCTGAAGATGCAGCATTTCTCTAGGCAGACTTATTGCAAAGCCATCATGGCTGATGTCAGGATGGGGGATGGGGGATATGCCAGTTAGAAATGAACTTGCTTCTTCTTCTTTTCTTTCCAAAAGATAAAAGGGGGGGAATGATAGTGCTGGTGTTTTGCCTCATATCCCCTCTCCCAGACTTCTCTTGTACTTAACTCCTCCGTGTCAGTGGGAAACACGTTTCATGGCATGATTTGCCCAGCAGAAACAACAGGCAAATTGCTGAATCTGACAGAAAGAATAAGGGCTGTATTATGTGGTACACTTGAGTAGCAATTGGTGTCCGTGACAAGTCCGCTGACAATTCTTCAGCCTAGTAAAATATAGACCAAATAAAGAATGGTGGAAATAAAGAATGGTGGACATTGGCAGATAACCAATGTCAATTCACAGCCACCAAGAATACAAAGTACTGCTTCTCAAGACTGCTGGAATACACCCAGAGTGAGAGAAAGAACTTGGTTAGCTGCAGACCAGAACCACCAAACTCTGCAACTGTGAGACTGTTTTCTCCTTGCTTTTTCACTATCTTCAAACTGCAAGAAAATATATGATGACCTTAACAGAGAGTCAGAGCCAATTATGAACACTATTTGATCCAAATCTGATTCTAAGAGCTCAACCTCACCTTCTGCTAGCCACAACACAAAGATGCTCCATTAACTGTATTTAAAGGACAGATCCTCATGATGTTGTCTTAGCCTTTTCCCCAGCCCACCACAGAGGCAGTTTAAATATATCTTCAGTTGTTTTGCCATTAGGTTAGTGCTGTTTTTCATCTTTTTTTGTTGTACTAACAGTTTGTGATGCTTCCCTGATATAGTCAATGATGTGGTCAGGGGTTGGTAACTGGACAGCTTTCATTAACCATTTTAGGCTGCTGTGGACATACCCCCACCTCCAGTACTTGGTCCCTGGTTTCCAGGGCCATTCGGCATTTAGCAATAGGAGACTCTGATTGTTTCAAACAGGGCTGTCTCTTTGTACTTCTAGGTTCTGATCACCCAAGTCTGCTCCATGGGATTATGAGAGTTCAAAAGGAAAGAGACATCTCTCCCCACTTTTCTTACCAACTATGCCAGATATCCCCAGGCTGGCAAGCTTAGAAAGGTGGCAAGAGAGAAGGGAGGCAGCTGTTTATCCAGCAGGTCTCTGATCCCATGGACTGAACCATGGGATCAGAACCTTGCAGGTCAAGAGCAATCTCCCTTTCACCAGCACCTGTCAGTAAGCCCCGAAAAAGAGCTGATTTGGCTCTTTTGGGAAGGAAACACCATGAAGCAAGTGAGCTTCCATTCTGCTGGATGCCCATCTGGTTACAAATTACATTCAGCCCTGGTTAGCTTCTGAGAACAAACTCAGCCAGGTGCTGAATGTATATTGCCTGTGCTCATTAAGGCTTAGCAGACTTTCATCCACTCCTTCTATTTCAGGCAAAGCATCCTCAATCTCCCAGCAGGGTGAATACAGGACTGCCATTCTAGGGGGTCTGTGACTCTTTGATTGCATTCAAAGTCTTGGGGAGTTTGATCTGGGTCTGATGGTTTATCAGGCTCATCTTCTGATAAGGCCCATTCTCTATCTCTTTGCAACAGTCTAATGATCGTGTAAATTTTTGCAACTCAGATTTGGTAGCCATAACCTCAAATATTCAATCACTGTGAATACTGCATTGTACTGAGAGATACACAGTACTGCCTGTCAAGGACATGGATGTTAGAGTAAAAATAATATATGAAGTCATATTTCTTCTACCTGCATTATTAAATAATATGGAGAAAAATTAATGAAAGATGTTCTTGATTTTAGGAAATGTAAATTAATTGCTTCATTCATTAAGTCTAACACAGGCTATTTTCATTTTCATCGCTCTATGAAAGGGCATGAATTCTGCTTCTGTGTGTATGTGTGTGTGTTTGCACATGTGTGTAGTTTTAAATTGCACAACAAATAGCGTAATTAGCAATTAACCAGGAAAAAAAAAGTTTAAAAGCTACTAGATTGAAAAGCAGATATGTATTGATTAGAAATGGAGAACATAGACTTATATTTTGGAAAGTAACAAGATAATACCACACTGTGAGGTTCTTAAGAACTTCTAAAAAAAGATTTTTTATGTGTTGCAGTAGTGTAGGAAATTAAATGAAATGCACTACAAGTAAATTCAATAGCTGTGATGTAAAGCAGCATTGAATTTGTGAAGACTGTAATTTACTCTCAACCTTAAACACAAGAGCTTAGAAAACTTGGAAATTTTTGAAAATCCCCATCCATAATGCAGCAAGAGTCTTAACTGTAAAATTTGATGTTTCTTGTAACAAATATACATCCTTTTCATTACTGCTGTACAATACAATAACCAATATAAATGCTCACTTAATGTGATTTCATTTCATTATTTCTCTGCATACATTGGCAGAACACAGAATCTGTAAAATATGGATGTTTGCATGCAAGTAAATTGGTTTGGATTTCTGATGAGATTCTATAATGATTCAAAGTTTGGCTTCTAGAGGATTAAACTGCCTTGCCCTTGGAACAGTGACAAGTGAAATGCCCAACAATAATGTATTTCTGTGCTTTCTCCCTCAGGACATGCATGTTATCAGCACTGATGAGAATCAAGTGTTTGCTGCAGTTCAGGAATGGAACCAGAATGATACATACAACCTTTACATCTCTGATACCCAGGGGGTTTACTTTACCCTGGCTTTAGAAAATGTCAAAAGCAGCCGAGACTTAGAAGGCAATGTGATGATAGACCTCTATGAGGTATGTGACAACAGTGCATATTTTCATCTCATGAAAATCATTAGCTAAGGTTGGCGTGTCCTTGATCTGTAACTGGAAGTTTAATTGGATATGGAATGTAATCTCTATGTGATGAAAGAATTTACAAAAATAATATTTCCCCAGAGTTACATTCATTTCTGCAATCAGTATTATCCATCACTATTGGATATTAGTGCACAATTACAGTACTGATGTTGATTTGTACATCTGTAGATAACTTTGTCCCAGCAGCAGTCACCTCTACCTCCACCTCTAAGACAAGACAAAAGCACATCCTGTCAGTAGGATATAACTGCCAGGTATAGGCAGCTTTTAAATATGTAGATTTGTATGAAGTAATTTCTCCACAATCATGAAATTTCTTCACCTTAAAACAGAGATGGACAAAGCTTTCAGTAGATGTCATGGTGAGCCATCGGTCAGAAATGTATATGCATATGCACAGTCGCATAGAGAAAAGCATACAAAGATACTGCCTATCAGGTTGCATAACTTTGGGTTTTTGGCCCCCCAGGGTCTGGTGATTTGTCATCTTTGGCTCTGAATGGGGTTGCCCTCCCCTGGACTGAGCTGATGCACAATTTGCGGGTCCTCCTAGACTCACGGCTCCTGCTTGATGAGCAGGTGGCAGCTGTGGCTAGGGGGGCCTTTGCACAGATCTGTCTTGTGTGCCAATTGTGCCCTTTCCTGAACTGGGAGGCCTTGATCATGGTCACTCACACCTTAGTCACCTCCCAGTTGGATTACTGCAATGCCCTTTACATGGGGCTGCCATTGAAAACCATTCAGAAGTTACAATTGCTCCAGAATGCAGTGGCCCACACAGTATTGGGTGCCCATAGGTTTGCCCATGTTTATTGTACAAGCTTTATTGTACAAGCTGCACAGGCTTCCAGTTTTGTGTGGGGTACTGGCATGGGTCCAACTGAGTAGGGGACCAGGTTTTAAGGTTCAGACACAGTGGAAATCTCCCAAAAATTGTTTGAAGAAAAGCCATACCTGAGTTCACCCAAATATTTAGCAGCTTATCATTGTATCTTCCCCACCCCCTTCCCCCAACTCAGTATTTGAAAGAGTTGGGTCAGACTAGGCATCCACATCTTTCTTCCATACTTTTGTGAGCAATGAAGAAGGTTTGGTGGACTGATTGTCTTGATCTTTGAGCATCTATAAACAATAAACACTCTCAGAAAACCTGAAGAAAATCTAAAAGGTCAATGTTTAAAAACAGACAAGAGTGTGGGTGAATAAGCAGGGCATTTCTTGACCAAGGTGAGGAAAATTTCTTTCAAAACAATATATTAATCCCCTGAGTTCTTTGGCAAGTTGATGAAAAGCTGTTGTCTCCTATTACCATCAGATTAAGGAGTGGTTCCGCTGCATTATGTAAAGATGTCCTATAGCTCAGAGGGAGAGGGAGGGAGAAAAAGGAGGAAAGATCGAAAGAAAGCCTCTGTTTTATTAGGCTGACATTCATAGCAGTCTGGATTGAAATTGATGTGATCAGACTAGTCATGTCGCATCTGTTGATTGCCTAGATAGAAGGAATATTGGCTGACACTGAACCTGGCAGAAAGCATTTCCTTCACTCTGATTGCTCTGGCTGGGAGCAAGCTGCAAGCCACCCAGAGCAAGGCTCCCAATAGGATTACTATGAATGATGAGCGCTTAGGGGTAAATGAAGAGAAAGGACAGGTGAGAGGAGGAAAAAAATCAATTGATGAAGTAGGAAGAGATAGGAAATAGGTGTATGGGTAAGAAAGATAAAAGCCCGTGTAGGTTGGAAAAAGTAGTGACCAAAAAAGTAGCTTGTGTATTATTCATAGTGCATTTTTCAAAACAAATCTTGTTCCTCTGAGTTCATGAATGGGTTAACTGCAGAAGCAGAATCAAATTGTGCCCTTTACTCAGGTTTTATTTTTGTGTGTTCAGAACTGGACTGTAATTCCTGGCATATTGGCTTTGAAAAAAAAACAGCCCCAAAGGTTTTCTGCATTATATTCTTCATATTCTTTATCTTTGACTATCTGTTCTGATTTATAACTAGCCATGCTTTATAATTCATTCTATCACCTTCACAAAGAGGCGTTTTTGGGTAAGGGTGTTGTTTTTTCAGCATTCATGCACTTGAAAGAGTAGGGTTACCAAGCTGCTGTTTTGTTTTTTTTTTTAATTTAGCTTTTTGGAGGCACACCAAACAAATGTAGGAGGATGTTTGTTACAGATGGGGCTAAGGATGTCGCCATTGCTCACTACATCTTTGTTTTCCATGCACTCTGCTCTTGCCCTCACTGATGTTCTTACTTTCATCCAGAAGATCTAAAGGAAAAGTATACTTGCATTTGCAAAGATGCATGAAATGGGGCCATTGTACATGACTCTGCCTTCTACATACTCATTTTAGGCATCACTCATGTGTGAAGAGGTCTTTTCGATTTAAAGCATTTTGATTAATTCCACCCCATTTGCTGTTAACAAGGACTGCTTATTTTTTTAAAAAATTAAGTGTTTTTATATATAACATTGAAGTGATTTTATTTTTGCAATAAAAATATATTAGCTATATTTAAGACACTCGTGGAACTATTCTTCAGTCGTAATGTTTATCATAATTATTGCTCAGTCATTTAGTCACTTCCAACTCTTTGTGATCTGATGGACAATAGTACTCCAGAATTCTCTCTCAGTAAATGAGTTCTTCTCATGCTCATGATATCAGTGATGGTATCTAGCCTTCAGGTGTCCTGCTGACCTCTTTTTTATTGCCTTCAGTTTTTCCAAGTTTCAGGACCTTCTCCAAAGGGTTGCTTTTGCATTATGTATACAAAATACTTCAGTATCAGTGCTTTCAGTGAGTGGTCTTTTTTTTTTTTTAATCTGTTATTGAATGACATGTTCTTCTTATTAATCAAGGTGCTCTCAACAATTTTATCCAGCACCACAGTTCAAAGGCATTGATTTTCTTCATTCAGCCTTTCTAATAGTTCAAATTTTACAGCCATATGTTATGACTGGAAAGACCATTCCTTTGATTATCTGTATCTTTCTTGGCACTGTGATGCCTTTGCACTTCATTATTTTGCTTAGATTTGTCATAGTTTTTTGCCTAAGTTTCCTTAGTTCATGGTCACAGTCACTATCTCTGCCGATTTTGGAACCAAGGAAGAGAATGTTTGTTACTGCTTCCACTGTTTCTTCACCTGTTTGCATTAGGTAGGCAGTAGCAATTCATATAATCTTAGGTTTTTTGTTTGTTTGTTTTCAATATTGAGCATGGCTTTTACACTCTTGTCTTTCACCTTCAGCAAGAGATTCCTTAAGTCTTCCCCACTTAAGGTTATCATCAGAATATCTGAGGTTGTTATATTTTTTCCAGAAATTTTAATTCCAAATTCTATTTCTTTTAGTTCAGTGTTTTTCATGATATGTTCTGCACATAAATTAAACAGAATATGACAGTATACAACCCTTATCACATGCTTTTTTCATCTCTGAGCCAGTTAGTTCTCCCATTCTTCATTCTAACTGTTGCTTCTTGATCAACATACAGTTTCTTCAGTTTGCAATTGAGGTAGTCCAGCACACCAAAGTTTTTAAAGGTTGTTCACAATTTATGGTGCATTATGCAGTCGGAAACCTTAATATTAGCCTTAAGGAAAAACAGGTGTCATTTCAGAACTCAGTTGACTTTTCCATTATCCGTCAGGTGGTTTAAATGGGACCCTGGATGCCTCTGCTTCTGAAACCAGGTTGTACCTCTGATAGTTCTTATTCTATGTGCTGTTGAAGTCTGGATTGCAACATCTTGAGCATTATTTTACTAGGATGAGAACTACGTGCAATTATTTGGTGGTTGGAGTATTCTTTAGCACTGCCGTTTTGTTTTAGATTAGAATATAGATTGATCTTTTCCAGCCCTGTAGCCACTGCTGTGTTTTCCATACTTGTCTACAAACTGCAAGCAGTATTTTAAGAGCATCAGCTTGCAAGATTTTAAACAGCTTGCTTGTATTTCATCTACTTCTTCAGCGTTGTTATTGACAATAATTTCTGAGGTCCGTTTAACTTCATTTGCTAAAAATTATGATTCTAGATTGATGATCATACCTTCGTATGCATCAGTGATTTGGAGGTGTTTTTGTATAGTTTTCCCACATATTTGTGACCTTATTTATACCTTCTTTCTCCTTTGCCTTCTTAGTCTTTTAGCAGGTCCATCTTTGTGAAAAATATTCCCTTGATTTCTATAATTTTTAAAATATTCTCCCATTTTTTTTTGCAATTCTTGTCCTCAATTTTCTTGCATTGTTTATTTAGATATTATTGTATTCTTCCTTTATTTACATACACAGAATTAAATTTGCTTGTTTATTATGTATACACAGATACAAAAACAAGGCATTTTTACAGGTGTAGAATACAGTAAATTTGTGTATTACATTTCAGCAAATGTGAAATTATTTCTTCTTTATATGAATTATCTGAAATAACCATCCAAGTTTAAATTTCTAGATTTCATTACTTTTAGCATGCAAAAGTATATGTATGCTTTGATTACTTATCTGCAACCCTAAAAAATCATAACTTGGTGCTTGATAGACAGTGCTGCTCAGTGGCAGGAGAAGCAAAAAAAAAAAAAAAAAAAAAAAAAGTGTATCCAGAGAACTCAAAATTCTTTCAGTATAGCTTATTCATTTTCAACTGAATTTCTCATTTACCATTGTGATTTTCACATTTGTACACATACAAATGGTGAATGAATTAATTCAACAATTTCAGAAATGCCCAGAACCTTTATTAGAAAAAAAGATTGGAAGGAGAACAGGTGGCTTTCAGTTCCATTGAATGTGTCATCTTTCTGGGCTGACTCTAGGGGTTGGAATAGGATTACTGTCTTGTGGTGGTTCTCCTCCTCCTTCCAGGTTCAGTTCCAGTTGGAGATGGCAGGGGAGAGAGATTGAGTCAGAGGCTGTACTCAGGAATTCATAGAAAACAACTAGCTCTCATCCCCAGCTTCCTCTGCAATCCCAGTCTTGGTCTATTAACTCATTCCAGATACAAATTAGAACAGTTCTGGTATCCCATCAAAATTTTAGATCAAGCAGAAACCTTTGTGCTCTTCTGCCTTTCCACTCTCTTTCACCTGCATTAGAAGAGGATGTCCTCGTTTTCTGCTTCTTTTCATCCTCTTTATGAGGTAGACTTTAATAATCTCAGTTGAAACTCTGGTATATTTTCTAGAACTACAATACTTAGTTGTTGAATGCTAATTAAACAACAATGGCCATGAAGAAAGTCTCTGAGTGTTGTTTGGCCATGCCAAGGAAGCACTATAGGATGTAGCAACCAGAAGCACCCTGCTGAAAGACAGAGGTGCTCTCACTCTCCCACTTACTCCCCTGCAGAAGCAGCAATTTACCCAATGGCAGAATATCATGCTGCTGTAAATATTGAGCAAAAAAGCAAAAGATTTATATGATCTAAAGGGAAACTAGAGATATTGGACTATTGATTTTTAGCACATAGAGAAAGCCAAGCTTGGAAAGTTGTTTTTTCATTTATTTCCCTATATCCTCTCCACTTTTATTCTGAGTGAAATGAATTGTTCCTAAAATTTGTGAACCATTTCCCTTAACCTGTACCCTTTGGGCATCTTTGGAATTATGGGAATTTCAATCCAACATATCAGGAAAATGTCAGAGTGTGAAAGATTTTCATTTCAGTGTCATTTCTGAAGAATCTGAGCTTGCTTCTCTTTCTATTGCATTAATTAGAATTATAGGACCTTACGATACCTGATGACAGTTGGACAATTTTTGATGAAACAAGTTATAGTAGGGGGCAAGTATATCCCTGGCTATATATATTCCATTATTTTAAAGAAGAATTTGGGAATTTTATGGAGGAAGGGTTAGCAGAATCTATTAAGCACAGTAATAAATAATGCTATGCAGAAAGGTTCTACTGAATTTCTTTCCTTTCAGGTCTCATTCAATTTGATGAAAATTATTTTACAATAAAACAAACAATAAGTGCCATTAAAACATAAAAATAATTCCATAAAAACTGAGTTAAAATTAGATTAAAATCAAAATGAGAAAAAAGCCAAAAATAAACCTCCAGCACCTTTAGAATTATGAACTGAACAAGCAAGCAGTTTAAATGGTGAAACAATATAGTCTTCACCGCCTTCTGAAAAATAACAAATTGGGGGCAGTCTGGACCAAGGGGGAAAGGCAATTTTATAGGGATGGGGCAACCACAGCAAAGGCCTTTTTCCTTTGCCCTTTGGGATGTGTGTTGGGGAGGGGGAGACTGAAACATTCCCTCCATAGAGGAATGTACAGGACAGGCAAATTCAGTCAGAAGGACATGATCCCAAAAGTAACCAGGAACAAAGCTATGTAAAACTGTTTAGGTTTAATTAGCACCTTGAATTGTACTTGGAACTAATGTAGCACCTCCAGAACTGGTAATATATGGCTGAAAGCAGCTCTCACCTACAAGTAAGTAGACTTCATCAACTACAATTTCCAGGTCATCTTCAAAGGAAGCACAAGTAAAAGGTATTGCAGTAATCCAACCTCAGTGTGATCAGGCATGAGTATCTGTTTCCAGGGCCTCCTGGTCCATAAACAGTCACAACTGGTTTCCTAGTTGAAACTGGCGAAAAGCGTATCTGACCATAGACTCCAACTGTTGATCAAGCAATACCCATGACAGCGGAAGAGCCCTCAAGTCAGGAACCTGCTTCTTCAGAGAGAGTGTGACCCCCCTCTAAAGCCAAAATAGCAGCAGATATGAAGCCAGTGTTTCCATTTCACTAGGATTTGCTTTTAGTAGTTAGTGGCTTGAGTCCTCCTCTTACAGCAATCCCAACTGCCCATCCATTCAGAATGGAGTGAAGCCATTGCAAAGTAGTGCCACCTCTGTTTGGAACCCTCCAGGTAGCCTAGAACAATACCATGGCTGATAGTATCAAACACTGCTGAGAGGTCTAGTAGGATCAGGAGAGCTGATGTCCGTCCATATTGGTCCTGGCAAAGGTGGTTTATCAGAGACAATCTGGTTTCTGACCCATTCCCAGGCCTGAACCCCAACTAAAAAGGAACAAGATTCATCTGGTCTATTCTGTAACTGTTGTAATTCTACCTTCTAAACTTTTATCGAAGATTGGAATTGGGGTGGAAATTGTATAATCTGGTCAGATCAAGAAATGGTTTCTCTGGGAAGGGCCCAGTATTGTCTCCTTCAAAGGAGCTGATGCTATCCCTTCTCCCAAAGAACTCCTAAATCTACACACATACACCCCTGTCTGCCCAAAAGCAGGTGAGCATGATTCAGATGAAGGTGCAGAATTCATATTCAAAAACACACACATACACATACACACACACTTCTTTGGAGTTCACAAGCTCAGATAAAATTTAGATGACCGTGACTGCCTTTGCCCTGGTTACTTCATCAAAATCTACATTTTTAAAAAAATGTTCAATCCTGCAACATCATCTTCTAACCTATCTGAATCCACAGTGGTTTCCATCTTATTTTTCCCAACCTCTGGTAAGAAAGAAGTCCTTTGGTGCAGTTTTCACCTTTGAGTCTGCTACATATGCATGCTGTATGCTGTATCTAAAGCTAGATTTGACAGGTACAAACGCATACACAATTTGTGTCAAATTTATCTTGTTTTTCAGCCATGTCAATTTCTCCTAGGTAGCAGGTATAAAGGGAATGTTCTTGGCTAACAAGAAGATTGACAACCAAGTAAAAACTTTCATCACCTACAACAAAGGCAGAGACTGGCATTTGCTGCAGGCCCCGGACACAGATCTGAGAGGAAACCCAGTTCATTGCCTCCTAGTAAGTGATGGGTTACAGGCATGAGGGAGAGGAAAACCCTTTTCTGATTATACAGTGACACAGCTTCTTTCACCAGGATTTTTCACAAAGGGTTTTAAAAAATTCTGAGATTGAAATGAAGTTATTTTTGTTTCCACAGGAAAGAAATGTGTATTCATGAACATTTTTTGTCCAGCTGTGTGTTTTGGACAATATAGACCAGCCATTATGCAGTAAGGTTGCATATGGCAATAAGGAATGAACCATTTGTCTAAGCAAATAGTCTTGTTATATTAAAATGTTGTGGTTAACCCTGGAATTGTGTGCAAATATTATTACCAGGATAAATCATTCCCTTGATAAAATACTGTTATTTGTTGGGACCCAAGAAGTGTGCCTTGTCTGTCACAATGCCTGCCCTCTGGAACAGCATCCCTCCAGAAATCCATATGGCTCCCACCACAATGACATTCAGAAAGTAACTGAAAACTTGCCTATATGCCCAGGCCCCGGGGCAGAGTGGTGCTTGAGCTTTTGTAGGGTGTTTTATTGTTATACGGAGTTTGTCTTCTGGATTGGGATTTGTTTCTTTTTTAAATAGTTCTAACTTTGTTTCTTTTAATGGAAGCCACCCAGAGTCATCTGGCCATTCAGTTGTAATAAATAAATAAAAAAAATTCCCAAGAGTTAGTTTAGGACAAGAGACCAGCCCACAATTCCACTGAAGCACAATTTGGTTTATTGTGGTACCTGAGGCAATAAGATGAACCCCCAAAAAGTGGAGGTGCAACCACTTTATGGACTTATAGACTTATGTTAAATTACAATATATATTTAATCAGTATAGCAGTTCCTTGATTGGGTTTTAGCATATATGTATTAATGTCTATGTAAGACAGTTAGATTGGTAAAGTAATAGTGGTAAATAGAATTGCATTCTTGAGTTACACAAGGGATCTAAGAACATTTCCGTTAGGATGTTGCTTTCTTCTGAGTGTCCTTGTGCCCAATGCTTTATTATCTTTTTAGTGCTTGAATTAACATTCCTTTGAGTCTAAATGTTTTATAACTGAGCTGGTAGTTTATTTTTGACTTGAAATGTATATCTGAGGAGAGATAATTTGCTTGCCTAACATAACACTATTTTTCTACTTCATATATCACTGCAAAAATTTTGGCTGCCACTCACACTCTTTGAATTCCTTTCAACATCATGGGTAGCATCTCTTTTATAAAAGAAACAAACAATGGAAAGTCCATCTTTTATTTTCCTCCACAAACTACTCACTCAGATACAGTCTAATCACTCTCTTCTTTCCTCTCTCAAAGACATAGATAAACATATTGCTTTGTAGTCAGTTTTCTAGCTTTTTCCTGTCAAATGAATAGCAAATGGGCCTGATCACAGCATTTCTTTTAGGTAATGAGTTCAGGCAATTTTTCCATTGGAAAGGACTGACAGATGTACCTTGATCCTTTCCATTAAAGCAGGTCACAACAATATGTGTCCTGAACAAATGTTCTAACATTACATTTGCATATTAGTGAGCAGATGAAGATGAATTTGGTAGAGATATATCAACCTTGGAAAAAGCCACTCTCCAACTTCCTCTTTTCCTGGCTTTCTCCCAAATTCCAAGACAGTTGCCTCTTCTCCTAGAGGGATTTGCCTGAGATCTTGTGGGCCATAAAAGGGGTAACCCCTGAACTCTTTGTCTTCTTTTTATTGTTACAATCCACCTCTTTTAAAGCCATATGATGTGTATGTGCAGAAGAGAGAGAAAGAGAATTCTATGGTTTACATTTCTCTTGTGGTCAATTTATAAAAACAAAAATGGATAATATAATGGAAAAATCGTCTTTCTCGTATATACTGTAAATGTTGGAGAACATGGAGAATTATGGAACTCCCAGGAGTTCACCTTGGAGTGGGTAGCTAGTGCCTTGTTTTACTTGCTTTGAGTGCCTGCAGCCAACATCCACACAATGAAATGTTACAAATCATATTTAGTATTTGTAAGTACTTGATACGAGGAATATATATATGTGTGTATTATATATGTATATATACAATTCATATAATAATATAAGCATATTCAGTGTTGCCTGCTTTTGGCAGGAATAATGAAATAAGATTCCTGAAAAAAATAGCTATGTTGAAGGAATTATCTCTGTGAATATTAAATTATACGTATGTAATTTAAGTCCAATTCTAGTATTGGATAGAATACCTTTGATCTAATTAAGGGCCTTCTCTGTTGCTGTGCCTGCCCTGTGGAAGCACATTCCCCTGGAAATCTGGATGATCCTGACACTGTTGGCTTTTTACAAAGCATTCAAGAGCTGAATGTTCCCGCAGGCATTTGGGCCAGGAGGTTAAGCAAGCCCCATCGTCTTCATGATTCGAAAGGGAATGGGTTTTGTTTTGCTTTTTTCCAGCTCAGGCCTGTGTAACAGTGTGATTTATATATTTGTTTTTATGAACTATGCTATTTTTTTTTTTTTTTTTGCTTTTAAGTACAGCTCCCAGAGTCACCTTTGTCACAAATTGTATAGTTGATTAAACAAACAAACAAATAAATAAAACGGAGCAAGCAAGAATCATAAAAAGAAACAAAACCAAACCTTAATTATTGGGGATGCCTTCGGAATTTCTTCGCCAGCCATTCCCCTCTCTTGAGATTATCACAATGCTTTTTGGTGGCATGGGCTGTCTATTTTGATTTGTTGCCATCACTTAATAAACCTAAAACAGCCTCTGAGAAAGTGAAATGATGGTGTAATAGATAAGCTGTTTGAAAAGAACTGGAAAGTTAAGAGCCAAGTCCCAACTCAGCCATAAAGCACATTGGCCTTCAATCTACATTCATATATGCATATTCATTATGATATTTACTCTTGGGGAAGCAATATTATGAAAGTTGCAGAAAGGTAATGAGAAATAGTAGATCAAACTAATAAAATCCACAACAGAAGAAAATGCAAGGAATTAGCCAAAACTAATTTACAGCAATAACATTGACTATATCACTCCCCATTGTTCTACCTTTGCAAACTAACCTTGTTTCCACTGAGTTTATGCATTATCTTTTGTTATAATCTTTCTTTTTGGGGATTTCATTTACTCCATGCAACTATAACTTTCTCACTTTTCCCCTTCCTCTTAACCCATTCCCTTTCATATATTTCTTTTGCTATTCAGTCCTCATTAATTCTCCATATGACTAAACCATTCAATGTGCTTCTTTGATATTGGTTATTTACTTTTTTATTCAACTGACATTCATCCAGCACATTCACCTGTGTCTTCTTGTTTTATCACACACTTTTTATTTACCCCATTCCCAATGCATTTGATTTTCTTTCATGTTTCTTCTGACATACCTAACAGTCACTTCCATATTACAAAGTGAGCAGAAACATGCTGTTATACACATCCCTCTTTACTTCTTTCAACTTACATGTATTCCTTGCAACAGACCAGATATTATCCAATACCTTTGCATTATCAGTTGCACATCTTAAAATTTCTCAGTCAATTTCACTGACTTTAACAAACATGCTACCAAAATACATGACATTAATCTAGTTCCTCTAATTTCCCACCATTTAGATATAACTGCAGTTGTTCACTCCATTTTAGCTGAAACACAACTAACTCTTGGCTTTTGATTTATTAATTTTCAGTTCCATATTCTTCACTCCATTATATAGTCTAACACTCACTGAAAATAATCAGCTTCTCAGCCAATAACATGGTATCATCTGCATACAAAAGTAGATGTACATTCATTTCCCTGACCAAAATACAGTATGTCTAATGACACCAAAACACTCCTTATACATTTATTCATACATATATTTGACAATCAAAAGGATTTGCCTTATTCCTAACTCAAAAGCTGATGCATTTACTATGCACTCCATTCTAATGTGGGCTTTACTTTTATCTTATGCTACTCCAGTTGCATTCAGGAACTAACTTTCAACTCCATAGTCATAGAAAACATTTTCTAATTCAAGCCTATTCACTTTATCTAAACCAGCAAATGCACAATAAACTTTATCTCACATAGCTGAACATTTCTTAATGACCTCCTGAAGAGGAAAGATCTGGTCTGCACACCCTCTGCTTGAGATAAAGCTACGCTGTACTTCCCAAAAGTTTGCTCTATGTCACCTCACATATCTATAGGTATAAGGGAGAAAAATACAGCAGTATTCCAATCATCAGGTGCAGATGCAGTCTTCATCACACATTAAACAAGCCACACAACCACACTACAATGAAATCACACCCATAATGTAATGTTTCTGTACTTACAGTGTCTCCACTTGCAGCCTTACTATTTTTCAACATTTTCACAGCATTTGTGATTTCCTTTGCATCATTTTTTTTCTTGAGCATTAACATTTAGAACATTCATTTGAATTCCGGTCTTTGACATATCACTGTCATTCACATACAGATATCTAAAAACTTCTACCAGCATTCTGTCACTTCAGTTTCATCCTAAATCATTTGTTCACTTTCATGTTCAATTCGATTCTCTCTGCTGGAGGCTCCTTATTTAGCCCTCTTTGCCTACTTTGGAAATATATATATATATATCTTTAAATCCCATCAAAAACTTGACATTTTCTTTCAACCGCAGTCTAAAGTATCATATATGGTTATTGTGAAGATGGGGAGGAGAGTCATTCTGATAAGCTAAACAGCCTCTTTCTGCCAAACAACTGATTAGCACAAATGCCTCTTTTCAAGTTCCTTCACATACACACAGAAGATAAATCCTTAAAGCAGTAATATGGTAAAGAGTTGTGATTTATTGATTTTAACTGAGCCTAAGTTGGAGAAATGAGATCTGTTTTAACAAGGATGCTACTTTTGGTCAGCTTGTATCACTTTATAATACATTGCAATAGTTGCAGCCAGATAGATCAGATTATCTGATATAGATTAAAGAAGACCCAAGACATGTGTGAAGGGGAAGGGAAAGTGGTCCCTGTTGTGTGACCTAACCTCTGGTGGTCAGCTCTATTTGAATATTCTTTCCCAGTGATCTTATTGTCACCTGAGAATGGATGCAATTATATAAAAACACTTGCATTACCATAAAAATACCTCTATTGATAACTTCTTCCAGATATTTACTATGCAAGATGTATGTATGTATGTGTGTGTGTGTGTGTATTCTCTCTAGTACTGATTGGCATCTCCTTGTTTGTTTGTTTTCTTCCAAGCCATATTGCTCCCTCCATCTCCACCTGAAGGTTTCAGAGAATCCATACACTTCTGGCAACATTGCCAGTCGGGATACAGCTCCAGGCATCATTGTGGCCTCTGGTAAGAAACATTCCAGTGAATTCTACAATGTCTTATTGCTATTTAAATGGAGCATAAAAGTTCAAATTTTCAACTTGTGGTTCAAAGCTGATATGAAGTAATAGTTGCAACCAAGAAGATCTATTGCAAATCTCTCTCTCTCTCCCCCTCCCTCCCTCCCTCCCTC